ACCCCTCATGGTAGGCCACCATTTTCCCCATAGACACCCCTTGGCATCCACATGGTCATCTCTGGCAGACTCCAAAATCGAATTTATTTTCAAATAAGAAAAGTTTTGTGTTGGTGCTTTTTTTCAAATTCAAAAGTTTCAGCAACTACTCTAAGGATACATACACATGAAGATGATGGAATCACTTGAAACATTTGAATCCTGGCTTAATTTTATTGAATACCCTAGAATTGGCAGTTTTGGCCCTTAGTTAGCCAGTCTGATTATAAAATCTCAGTCGATGTTGACAATGAAGACCTTTAATAATAATAGAAACAGCGTCTCCTAGGCACCATGCTGTGTTCCTCACATACATTATAAGAATCCACGGAGTTTGGCAATATTACCGCTCCAGTTTTACAGGTAAAGAAACTGAGATGGATTTGTTGGACGTAGGGCTCAGGACCATGGACTTGTTGTACCACAAGATTAATTGGCATAGTCCAGAAAAACAATGTTCTACATCCCATTTAGCTAAGTAGTGCCGGGTCTTTTAAAAGCTTGTGAGCAGCCAATAAAGTGCAACTACTGATGTCTCCCCTTCTGGAGGCAAACACAGTGAAGGAAACTGAAGACATATAGAAATAGTTCAGTGGACTAATGACCACAAGAATATCAGCCTACATGATCCTGAGATCAGAAGAACTAGAAGGTGCCTGGCTACCACTACCAACCACACTGAAAGGGAGCATATTAGAAGGAATTTTCAGTCAAGGGGGTGGTGGTATTAAGTGTCCTCAAGTCAGTACCAACTCATAGCAACCCTGGATAGGGTTTCAGAGGCGTGGGTGGTGGGTTTGAACCACAGCAGGACTCTGGCCAAGCAGTAGGCCTGTAAGGTGAATAATACTAGAAAAGTATAATCATCCATTTGAGATCATAGGGTCAGCATTTTGTCTGAGGACAAAGTTCAGAAGGCAGGATGGGTTAGAAAAGAAATGGAAATGGGAAACGGAAATAAGATAAGTGATGTTACCATGTAGAGATGGCAGTCAATGACATGAAATAGGATGTGTATGAATTGTTGAATGGAAAGCTGATTTGTTCTGCAAATTCACCAAACGTTTTCAAAAGAAGGCAGGAGGGGAAGAAACTGAGATGGCATCACTTGCCTATAGTCTGAGAACTAATAATAGGTGGCGGAGACAGTATTTGAATCTAAAAGATCGCAGACATTTACAACCCTGTGGAGCACACAGTTCTACTCTGACACACATGAGTTACCAGAGTCAAAATCAACTCAATGGCAACTGGTATACTTGTAGACTTAAAGTAGATCATCAGGTCTCAGAAAGTTTTTGAGGTGCCTCTGGATGGACTTGAACTGCCAACCTTTTGGTTAGTAAACTAGGACGCACGTAACCATTTGCACCATGTCTACCTGACTATAATGCCTTTGTTCTGAACTGGTACAGTACTTTGCCTCACAAACAATGCTTGGGGCAGCCAAATGTTTTCCAACATCGGCTTCAGCATTAAATCACCTGGGATTTTGAGTAATTAACATTCTACTTCCTCATCTGCAAAACGTGTAGGTTCTGTAAAATGAGTAGATTCTGACTTATAGTCTGCAGAGTAGAACTGTGCTCTACCTATAGGGTTTTCAGCGCCTGTTTTCTTTTGTGAGGCTACATCAATTCAACAGCAGTCAGTTTGGTTTGGGGGTTTGGGTGAGCTTTTGGAAGTAGGCTGCTAGGCCTTGCTTCTGAGGTGCCTCTGGGTGAATTCAAATCTTCAACCTCTTAGTAGCAGAGTACTTAACTATTTGTACTACCTAGGGATTCCTAATGACACTTTTAGTGCAGGTAAAGTATTTAGCATATTGCCGGACTCATTAAAGGTTAGCTGTTAGCTATCTTGGAGTCCTGGTGTGGTGCTGTGGGCTAATGCATTAGACTGCAAAGTCGTTTGAACTGCAAGGACGGTGGTTCAAGCTCATCAGCTGCTCCTTGGAAACCTTATACAGGGTCACTATGGGTCGGAATCGACTCAACGGCACTTAACAACAACATCTTGGTATGGGAGTCCTGGTGTGGCACTGTGAGTAAATGTGCTGGCCTCCAAAGTTGGTTTGAACTGCAAGGTCATTGGTTCAAGCTCACAAGCTGCTCCTTGGAAACCCTATACAGGGTCACTATGGGTCGGAACCGACTTGATGACACTTAACAACAAATCCTAGAATGGTGTTGTATGCTAAGCATTAGACTGCTAACCTCAAGGGCAGCAGTTCAAATCCACCAGCCACGCCTTGGAAACCCTACATAAGGTCACTAGGAGTTTGAACCAACTCATCAGCACTTAACAGTAATTGTTAGCATTAGTCCTAAACACTGTATTTCACCTTAGTGTGAGATTCCAGCCACTCCTTGAAAGATGTGACAATCTGCTTCCATAAAGCTTCATAGGCTTGGAAACCCTATAGGACAATTCTACCCTGTCCTGTAGGGTCACATTAGCAAGAGCTCTTTTTAGTACCCACTCTACCAAAGGGTAAATGGAAGGAGAATTTTCTTTTCTCTCCACCAAGACAAAGGAAACAGTTAGCTCTTTTAAAAAGTGGTAAATAATACCAACCTCAGTTGAATTCTATAGATTAGGAACATACCTTTCGTGTCTAATTCAAGCAGCAAAACTGTCACAGGCAACACAGTTTAGAGGAACCCACACACAAGTTCAAACGGAGGAGGAGCATCATCAGTATTGAATGAAGGTGGTGTTGGTAGCGAAGTAGTCTATTTTTGTTTCTGAACTTGAGTTTTCTACTACAAGTAGAAGACAAAGGAGCCTAGTTCTATTCGTAACACAGGGGTTAAAGTGCTCAGCTGCTAATGAAAGGTTGGTGGTTCGAAGCCATCAGCTGCTCCATAGGAGAAAGTGATAGTGATAGTCTGCTTTTATAAAGATCTATAGTTGTGTACCTGTCCTAGTCTGTCCCATAGGGTCACTATGAGAAAGAAGGAATTTGACAGCAGCAGATTTAAGGAATCAAATGCCTTGAAATCTCCAGAAAACTAGGTAGAATACCTTTCTTTAATTCTTTTCTGGTGTTTGAAATACATATTTGCAATGAAACTGAGATTTGGACTTTCTATCAAATGTAATTCATGTGAACAAATACTTTAAGAGGAATTCTGAGACAGGATGTAAGGTATTATTTTTTGAAAAAGGTTTTAAGTTGAACAACGGGTGTACATTTTCGGTGTTTAGACCTTAAGGAGAAAGATGAGGTTTTTCTGCTCCCGTAAAGATTTATAGTCTCAGAAATCCTATACGGGGTCGCTGTGAGTTGGAGCCGACTCCACAGCACATCACCACCACCACAAGAGGAACTGATAGTTGAGGTATTTAGCAAACCAGATTTGATTACCAGCATTCTCTCTTCACATTGACCAGTCTGTCTAAAGGATCTGCTTGGGGTCTGATGCAGGGCTTGTCAATGCGAGATTGGGAATTAAGTGCATTTGACTAAGGGATAGGATTTAAGGCCATTGATATCACCTCATGGTACTCCATAGAAGAGAAGATGACCCATTTGAGAATGTTTCAACACCTCCCAAATGGAGAACAAGGTCAGCAGTTCAACCCCTAGCTAGTCTTCAGAAATCCTATGCAGGGATGCTATGAGTCAGAACTGACTCGCCGACACTCAACAACAAGACAATGGAGAATGGAGTAGAGGGGGCCGAGTAGATCTCAATAGCCAGTCAGTAAAAATAACAAAAACCAGCACAACACTTAACGTTGATCATGTCTTGGTTCCAATATTTATTACATTGACATTACTACATTGAATACTAGGATAAATACATAATAATTTCTCTTACATAAAATTGTAATGATAATGTTGAGTAGGATCAAACCCTGAGGATTTCACAGAAACATCAGGATTTCATCAGCCAGACAGTAGCCAGAGTCCTTGTGACCAGTGCTCTTCTCACATTGGCAAATGCTCTGGGCCAGAGTTTTAAACAACACCTACATGCCACTACCGTCCAATAATGCTAAAGCCTGGGCATCACCTGACTTCAACCATGTCTCCACTGACCCATGGGTTTCAACCCCAAGAAAAGGGAAATGCAATTTGGCACTTCAGGCCTACAAACACTCCCTTCATCCAGACAATCCTGGCTCTTTGGAAGTTGTTTTTTTTAATTTCTGGTTCTTTCCTGTATTATTATTATTGACTGAGTTTTGCAACAGAGGCCCCACAATGACGTCCATGGACTTCATGTTAACGCCTGGATGTGTTAGGAGGAGAAAGAGGCCACCCCTCTCTGTTGGCACAAAGCCACAGTGTGTGGCCTGTAGGGGAATTCTATTCTACTGGGCTTGACTAGCCCCTTGGGCCCCCCTGAATACTTTATAGGACACTGCATGACGTGGTGGCAGTTTCCCAAACTCTCAGAACCCAGATCTGAGAAAAGTCCTATGAAAGCCACCCCAGTGTTGTGCAGAACAAATAGACGTCAATGAGCACAATGCCTAGTTTTGAAGCGAATGCCTTGCTCCCAGTCATCCCTGTACAGTACAGCATGTTTGCGAGAAAGCACAACCCTGACCTTCACACAACGTCGCTACCTGCCATCCTCACTCCATTTCCCCACAGGTGACAGTGGCAGCGGAGTCCTAGACACTTCTTCTGCATGACTTCTAATGGTGGACCTCCTGGTTTTTGTACTATTCAGTCGAAGGGCCCCTGGAGCATCTAAGAACGGCCAGTATGATAAAGCCTAAAACCTGGAGTCGAGGCAGAAATGCACTTGCCCTGGTCCAAAGTCCACTCTGGAGTGGCGCAGAGAGGCACAGCCGAGTCACCGCAGGCCCTCCCGCCTCAGAGGGTGTCTGCTGCTGGGATCCTAGAGGTGCACAGGAAGTCAGATCTCCAATTGCTTCAGATATTGGGGTGTAAAAGAGAACTCAATGAGGACTTCCAGTTGCCCCCAAACCATGGCTGCTTAGCTCTACAATGTTCCTTCTTTTATCTGTTGGATAAAGAGGTTTCTCTCATCTTCCGGAGTCCGCCCATTTTGAGCCCGCACAATACACGTGGGCCGGTGAAGGTTGAGCATGTATATCAAATGCTGCTTCTCGTTCTTGAGCTCCTCAATTTGGGCCTTCAGTTCGGCATTCACACTCTCCAGCTTCTCCGACTCCTGGGGGACAAATCATAGAGGCATTGGGAATGGAACTAAAAGGCCAGTGAAGAGGGGTGACTGGGGGTACTGCCTCAGGAGCAAGGGAAACTCCTGGGACCCTTTAGACATCATCAAGCAGGGACTACCCTGCAGAGGGCGCACAGCTGTCTCTGCTGCAATATCCCACAAGGTTGGGAGAGTAGTACTAGGTCTCGGACAATCCAGACCCTGGGGAAGCCATTGAACCTGGGGTAGTCTTCAGAAATGCCCTAAAGTTTCTACTACAGAGCCAGGTTGTGACTCAATTAATATAGCTACAGTTGAACTTTTGGTTCAGAACACTCTGCATGGAGCCCAGCAGCCCATATGTAGGTCTTCTGGGCCTATAAGGATCTTAGGGGCTGGGAAGGGACCTGGATTAAGACTCTACCCTAGCATGTGTACACTCAGGGAAGAAGAGGGCACAGCCATGGAAAGATGGCCTGGCATCATCCTTATCTGCTCAGCCTGCCCACAGATGCTGATGCTTCTCCCTTCTGGAAGGGTAGCTGGTGGGCAGAGCCAGGGAGAAAGGCTGAAGAGTTAAGAACTAGACAGGAGCGCCAAGAAAATGTAAACACTCTTGCGGATTCAAGGAATAATTTGTCTGAAGACATTAATGAAAGGCTATTTCACAGAGAGTCAAATGAGAGCTGACAGCTTCTTTTTCTCAGGAAAACGGACTTTTAGTGAAGTCTCTTTAACAGGGCTGACATACCCTGCAGCTTGGGTGTGTATATGGAATGGCTGAGGCTCCTAGGAATCTGAGCTTCAGATGACCCTGTGGCTTTTAATCCACACACCTGCTTTTCATATATCCAGAGTCACGTTCATTGTGCTAAAAGTTATGTTGCCACATTGTTCTGAGACTGGCATTTCTGCTACCAACTACATGGTCCTTCTTGGGAAAGCACTTGCTGTTAGGAGAAGGTAGGCACAAAGAAGCAGAGGGGGCAAAGATTGAAAGCACTCACTTTTTGTAGGCACTCCGTCTTTTCCTTCTTTTTGTTTCGGCACTTGGCAGCTGCAATTTTATTCCTTTCCCGCCGCCGCTTTTTCCTTTCATCTTCTTCAGGGGCTGCCTATAAAACCCAAAAGGCACACGCTTAATACCCAAAGCCAAACCTATTGCCATCAAATTGACTCCAACTCATAGTAGCAACCCCATGTTACAGAGCAGGACTGCGCTAAAGGTTTGGCTTGGCTATAAACTATATGGATCGCCCAGTCCATTTTTCTGTGGTGCCACTGGGTGGGTTCGAACCCTTGACCTTTGGGTTAGTCACTCCCCCCAGGGACCTTCACACAATAAGTGCTGTCGTTGTTGGTGGTGTTAAGTGCCATTGAGTCAGTTTCAATTCATAGCAACCCTGTATATGGTTTCCAAAGAGCTGCTTGTGGGTTTGAATTCCAACCCTGTGATTAGCAGTCCAGTGCTTATCTTACAGCACCATACACCAGGACTCTATGGTGGTGGTAGTTATGTGCCATGGAGTTGGTTCTGACTCATAGTGACCCTGTACAGGGTTTCCGAGGCTGTAAATCTTTACTGGAGCAGAAAGCCTCATCTTTCTCCCCGCAGAACAGCTCGTAGTTTCGAACTGCTGACCCTGAGGTTCACAGCCTGATTCGTAACCACTACGCTACCAGAGCTCAGGATGAAAAATGAAAACCAAAAACTGTCAGTTAACAAATAAAATTATACCGGCAATATTAAATCCACTGTCAAAATGCTATTTCTCACCTGTAGTGACTGCTCCTTAGGGTTCCTAAGACTCAATTTTTATGAGAGCAGACAGCCTTACCTTTCAGCAACTGGTGAGTTCGAACCACTAACTTAAGGTTAGCAGCCCAATGCTTAACCCATTATGCCATTAGAGCTCACATTGGCTATATTGTTGTTGTTACTTGCAGTCAAGTTGGTTCTGACTCATAGAGACCCTATGTAGGGTTTCCGATGAGCAGCTGGTGGGTTTGAACTACCGATCTTGTGGTTCTCAGTCTAGTACTTATCCTATAGCACCACACCAAGTGTCTATTTGCAATATTAGCAAGACAAAATTTTAATCTATTTTAAAAACACATTTTGATTTTGGTCTGAGTTTGCTATTTAAACTGACAATGATTGGCACTGATTGTAATCATTTAGAGCAGGAAACAGATTCTGTTTGTAAATATGTCCTTTCTCCTAGAATTATGAGTGATGTCAGGAATATCACCTAGACACAGTCTTCCCTGTTTGTGTTGGGATTCAGGTCTTAAGCTGGAGATCCAAAGACAACCCCATTCATCTTGGTATTTGCCTTGAGTCAGAGTATGTACCACTCAAATTTGGGTGAAACTCCTGGGGAACAGGAACCTAAGCCCCTCCCCAACCCAAACGGCATTATCAGTCCATGGCTAGGGTGCCACCTATGGGTGGTGAACTACAGCCCTCCACTGAGTCACCTCACAAATCTCTGGAGATCTTCAGACAAATGCTTCCTGCTTTAGGATAAATTGTGACCTCATGAGGACTGATGAAGAATCAGCAAAATCCGGCAGCTGGAGATCAGAGTCCAGCTGGGATAAAGTGTTCTTGGTAGAACAAATGGGTGAAGATTTGGGCTTCTAATATCAGACCCTGACAGCTCTGGACAGTGGGAAACGGGGCAAGGAACCAGACCTCAAATAAAAGAGCTCCTAGGACGCCAAAAGAAATTAATCATATTAACTGTGTAATAGGGTCAATGTGAAGATCATATTAGTTAATATAGGTAAAATACTTTGACTAGTGTCTTTTTAAAAAAAAAACAACAACCCTCAAACTCAATGTCATCAAACTAATTCCTACTCAAAGCAACTCTATATAGGATTTCCGAGGCTGTAAGTTTTTACACAACAGAAAGATCTCATCCTTCTTCTGCGGAGCAGCTGGTGAGTTTGAACTGTCAACCTTGTGCTTATCCTACAAAGTCCAGTGCTTAGCCTGCAGAGTCACTATGTCTAGTTTTTGGTCAATGCTATGTGAGTTTTAGCTATTATCACTAACATCATTATAATCTTCAAGAACTCAGCAACCCTGGCCTTTCCTTTGCAACCCTATAGATACTTAGGATAGAATGTTAAGAATACAGAATTTTCTCACATGAGAAAATATCTTGAAAGTAGAGCAAATCTCAGAATCACAGACTACTAGAGCTGGGAAGACTTTCTGAAGACCATCTAGTTCAACTCCCTCGTGTGACTAATGAGGAAACTAAGGAATGGTGTGACCAGTAGTAAAGTGCCCAGGGAAGCCCCAATCTCAAGATATTTGATTCAAAACAATACAACAACAATAACAAAAACTTCCTGAGTGCCTCATGGTCCACCTTACACTGTCCTCTATTGGACTGGGCACCAATGAACATGTGGTGGGAATGCTGCTTTCCTTTGTGACCCCCTCTGAGGATAACTGGGGCACAGTTAAGGCCTATAATGATGCCTCATGAATACAGCCTCATGTAGTAGTCCTGGCTACTTGTTCACTGAAGGCTAAATATCAGTCGGGTCCCTCTGCTCAACCCTGAAAAAATGTCATCGCATTGAACCCTCTTATCAATCTTATGCAGAAGTCGGTTTTACCCTCTTTTAGATTCTTCATCAAACACCTTTTAAACTTAGTCCTTTTGGTCACTTCCACTACTCCTAGACCAAAGGCTGTGACCATGTCAATCAAGTAAACAACAAACACTCCCATTTCTGAATCATCTTATTCTTCTGTTGCTGTTGTTAGGAGCTGGAGAGTCAGTTCTGACTCAGAGCATTCTAGCTGTACTTTGCCAAGACAGATTTTAGCAGTACATTCTATATTCTTCACCAACACCATAATCTAAAGGCATTAGTTCTTCTTTGGTCTTCCTTATTCATTGTCCAACTGTCATACCCATATGAGGTGACTGAAAATACCATGGCTTGGGCCAGGCATACCTCAGTTCTCAAGGTGACATTTTTGCTTTTTGACACTTGAAGGCAATCTTTTGCAGCAGATTTGCCCAATGTAACGTGTCATTTGATTTTGTGACTGCTGCTTCCATGGGCACCACCTTACATGGGTCTTCACTTTGCAAACATAAAAGGAAGACCAACAGAGCGGCCAAGTCCCCAGTTCTGACATCCCTGAGTATCACAGCATTACTAGCAACTGCCTCCCTGCCTTCTGGTCATGCCGATTACTCCTGGGTGTCTTGCCAATCACTGAGTGAGGAAGAGTGCAAGTGCCAGAAACAGAATTGAACTTGGAGCAGACACCTGGTCCCATGGCTGTAAACATTGCTACAGAGAAGGATGGGAGCGACTGGCCAGGCCTTGCTTTATTTCTAGACACCTAGATCCTTGTAACAAAGAAAATTGTCACACTCCACATTCTTCAGAACTAGACACATAGATCATCCAAACCCACTTCAAGGCATTATATACTATCTGTATGGCTTCCAACTTTGTATCTAGCCCTGGCTTTCCCCTGAATTCCAGACTCACAAATTCACTGTCTTCTTGATACCCACACTGAAGATGGAACTCCTGCTCTTGTCCTCACCCAATCTCCTACAGTCTTCCCAGTCTCACCAGCAAGTGAGCACTCTGCCCTTATAGTTGCTGAGACCATAAACTTTGGAGTCATCTTGAGTCTTATTCCCCTCACATCCCATGTCCAGTCTATCAGTAAATCAGCGTCACCTTCAAAATCGACCTAGAATCCAACCACATCTTAGTTCCCGCTGCCTCATCTTCCTCCTGGATTATGTGGGGGTCTCCTTTCTGCCATCTCTTTTCAACATGATGGCCAAGGTGACCATGTGAAAATATAAGTGGGACCATGTCATTCCTTGGCTCAAAAACTGTCCAATGACTTCCTATCTCATTCTGTCTAAATGGTTACATCTTTACACTAGTCTATATGAGCAGAACTAACTCAAATGCATTTAACAACAACGTAAGACTCACCATGATCTGCTCCGTACCCATCACCTCAATTCCAACTTCATCCTCTAATCCACACTCCACCCCAACCTCACAGCCCACTTGTTGCTCTTCAGGTTCCTCAGCCCCACTCCGACCTCCATGCCCTTCTTGCTCTTGTGCCCGATGCCCACATGACTCCCTCCATCTCCTCCTCCATCATCAAAGCCCTCTCCCCGTTCCCTGCTTTAGTTTTCTCCTTTGCATTTGTCTGTCATATTATGTGTTGATTTATATTATGTGTCATTATCTGTTCCCAGTAAAAAGTAAGCTCTCTGAGGGCAGTGTTTTGAGAACAAGTCTGGCACATGGTGGGTGTGCAGTAAATATTGACTGACAGGAAGAGCCACTACCTCAGCTTTCATAACTGACATCTCGAGGGGTCTATCGCTGACAGTGACCGACTCCAGCGCAGAAGACATCCGGTGGCAGAGGTGCTTGTTCTGGATGGCGAACCTCAGCTCCTCCTTGACAAAAGGTGTCAAGTTGGCAAAATCCTCAAACACCAGTGACCCAGGAGGGGACAGGCAGGGGACAATGGCAGAGGCACTGACTTCTGAGGCAGAGACCTGGCCTGGGTGTTGAAGCATCATTTTGCTGAAAGACACATCAAAACCAAAATTACTTTACAGGTTTGGGGACAGGAGATCACATCCCCCTGCCACCTCTACCACCAGAGTTCAGCCCCACAGGAAGTCCTGTAAGCCCACCCCACTCCCCACTGGTTCTACTTGTTCTCATTGCATGCCATACTCATCTTGAAAGAAACAGGTTCTTAAAATATACAACTCATTGACAAGGATAAAAGGCCCAATTAAAGTCTATGCGTGCTGACCTTTCATGCTACCCTGAACTCTTAAAACAGTTGTGCATATATGCAAATACAGCCTTAAACAGTTCTGAAAATAGTTGTTGTTAGTTGCACTCCATTAGATTCTGATTCATGGAGGCCCTACATGCTACAGCGTATAACTGCCCCATAGGGTTTTCTTGGCTGTAATTCCTAAGGAAACGGATTACCAGGCCTTTTCTTCTGCAGTGATATTGGATGGGCTTGAACCCCAACTTTTTATGACACCCAGGTAGCAGAAAGCAGTAGAGTAATGTATTTTTTCTTTAAATCAGCGTGATGATTATGTAATTCCACCCTTTAGTCTCTTTTAGAAAAAGAAATTTAGCAGGCATTTAAAATCACATTGAATCTATCAGCAAGTGGACGTAAAAGGCATGGGTGGAGGGCACTTCAATTTTTCAAATGTATTTCTGAAGCCTCTTTTTCAGGGAGCTGGATCAGGGAAGGGAGGGAGTAAGGGAAGTATTGTTTCTCCCCAGCCCTTGGTAGGCGTGAGGAGTGGGGATGCAGGTCACAGGGGACCAGCAATCACTTCATAAGCAAAAGACCTCAGAGTTAAGGAAGTGAAGAGCTAAAGAAAAAAAAAAAAGAAAGTGAAGAGCTAAGGATTTGGACATCTGAGGGGGTTATTGGACTTTTAACTTAGGGAGGGGCCTGGTTTGGTGTCAGAGTAGGCACCAGGGCCTGGCTCTGTCATTAAGGAGTAGTGTAACTCAAACCATTCCCCTTAGCTCTCTGAGACTCTGTCTTCTGGTGAACATCTGAGAGCCCCTTGTTGTTAGGTGCCATCTAGGCAGTTCCTTCTCATAGCAACCATTGGCACAGTTCCCTAGCGTAGTGGGTAAGCCTCTTTCATCATCTTCTCCCCGAGTCTGGCTCAAAGCCTAACTCTGTCTGCTTACAATATACAGGCTGTAGACCACTTGACAGAATTTTAAAAATGGGGAGGGAGTGGTTGAATGAAATGACCTCCAGGGTCCCTTCTACCTCTACCACTCTATAACTCAAAGAATTTAAAAAGGAGCAAAAATAGAAAGAGATCCACAGTGCCAATCTGGAATACCAGTTCCCATCAAGTTGACTCTGACTCATGGTGACCCCATGCATGTTACAGTAGAGCTGTACTCCTTACGTTTTGCACTGATTCATTTTTAGGAAGTAGGCCATCAGGTCACTCTTCTGAGGTATCTCTGAGTGGACTCGAACCTCCAACCTTTTGTTTAGTAGTGAGCAGTTAACCTTTTGCATGCCCCAGGGACTCAGTCACCCAAACATCTCTCCTTACCATGTATACCCTAGAATGAAGAGCTGTTCCTTAAAAGCGAGGCCCAGTAGTAACCTTTCCTTCTTGTCTCTGCAGTTCTGGAGGGGTAGTGAGTGTGGGGACTGCCTGAGCAGGCAATCCACTGTACCGACTCTCTGCATCTGGGACCTGTGGTCCAGCAGACAGGAAGTCAGTCCTCTGGCAAATTCCTAGCAATTTAAAGAGTGCCTCCTACATGCCAGAAACCTATGCATATTGTCTCATTTAATCCTCTCAAGAACCCAGTGAGGGAGCAGCTAGAACAGAAGATATTTCTTGAAAGAAAGACCAACAGGAAAAATACAAAACAATAATGGCAGTCCAACTGATTACTACAAGAACAAGCAAGTTGCTCACCCAGGAGACATCAAGGCAAGTGGTCAGGTCTCCTCAGAGCAAACCTCCTTCCAAGACTAAGACTCAATGGGAATACATGCTATGATTGGTGACCACGTTTGTCACGGATAAGGGGAAGTGAGGGAAAAACAGCAATGAAGCTGTGAGCTAAGCCCTACAACGTTCAATAGATTCCTGTGAACCCGGGTGGAGCCCTGATTGGCCAGCAGTGTGGCAAGACCTGGGGACTCTTTGGCCCAGAGTCAGTGACATAGCCACAGAGGACTAGAGTGGAGAGTGAAGTGTCCAGCTGATAAGAAGAAAGGGCATATGCAGAAGAATATCCACACTTGCAGATAATACCCACTTGACCTGGCTTCAATGACTGGATGATCAGAGCTCAACCAGAAGAAGAAAGAAGAGGAAAAAAAGAGTAATCTGATACAACTTGATGAACTTGACCTATACCTATGGATGCAGTAGCTCAAAAGAGGGAACAAATCTTTATAGCAGGGATCATTCCCACCCCCTCCATACACAGAGTAGACAGGGATGGGCAACTTGGACATTGGCTACCCAAAATGGGGGGGCTACAGAGGCAAGAAGTGACTGGCTTACAAGTTTTCAACAGGGAGCCTATATCCAGAGGGCGTGGAGGAAGGTAGAATCTCCACTGAGTAATATTCAATCTGTCTAGGCGGGGTTGAAGAAAGGAAATGTGAATAAGTCTCTTGTGATACAATGGTGAATAATAGTTATCAGGACTGATTGTGAAGGTTGGAAATGTAAAGGTAGATGTTTTGTAGGAAGGAGGGAAATGATTAACTTTGCAGTCTAGGAGCGGAAGTCGTTGTGACCATGAAGGGAAAAGAGTGGGGCGCAGGATCCTACCCAGAGAAGCAGTGATGCCTGAGATGGTGGCAGAGACGATGATGTGGAGAGATGGAGTGGCTGGGGACTTTAGACCCAGAGAGGGAGAGGGGCTTTGTGCTGACTACCGGTGGACAGGCTTGCAGGGTATACCCTTTGGATGGTTGATGATGCATGGAGGGGATTGTAACCATGGCAAAGAAATGATGTACGATAGGATGAATGTAAAACTAATGTCCTCCCATGTAACTATCACATAATTCACAATAAAACATTTAAAAAAAAGGGGGAGGGATGACCCAGTGAGGAATCAGATAGGTTTGAAGTGTTTTAAAAAAAACACTTTTTTAAACAGGGAAAGATATTAATAAATTACAAGGTAACCTCAAAGAACATTAATACACCTGCACATCAAAAAGAAAAGAAAAAGAAAATCAGGAAGATTTAGTAAACAGTAACACAACAGAAATGAAAACGAAAAGAAAGTCTACATAGAAAAACTCAGCCCAGAAAATTATGTGGAACAAAGAAACCACACACACAAAAAAAGCATATAGCAAAATAACAGCAATTAATTAATGTTGTTGTTAAGTGCTGTCGAGTCAGTTCTGACCCATACGACCCTGTATAAGGTTTCCAAGGAGCTACTGGTGAACTTGAACCTCCGACCATGAGGTTCAAACCGACTATGTAGTCCAGAGCATTAACCTGCAGCACCACACGAGGACTGCAATTAATTCATACTCATTGATAATTACACAAATGTACCTGGATTAAATGCACCAGTAAAGAGACAGAGCAGAAGGGACAAGAAAAGAGGATCCTTCAATATGCTGTCTATAAGAGACACATCAAAAGATGGAGACAGACTAAATGCCCATCAATAGAAGGATAGTTAAACAAACTTTGGTACATACACACAATGGAATACTATGAAACGTTGAAGAATAACGATGAATCTGGGAAACACAGTGTTGAACCTAGAGGACGTTGTTGTTGTTAAGTGTTGTTGAGTTGGTTCCAACCCATAGCGACCCTATATACGGTTTCCTAGGAGCAACTGGTGAGCTTGAACTGCTGACCTTGCAGTTCAAACGGCTTTGCAGTCTGGCGCATTAACCCACAGCGCCACACCAGGACTCCTAGAGGACATTGTTATTGTTGTTAAGTGCCATCGAGTCGATTCTGACCCATAGCGACCCTGTATAGGGTTTTCGAGGAGCAGCTGGTGAGGTTGAACTGCCTACCTCGTAGTTCAAACGGCTTTGCAGTCTGACACATTAACCCACAGTGCCACACCAGGAGTCCATTATTGTTGTTGTTAAGTGCCGTCGAGTCGGTTCCGACCCATAACGACCCTGTACAGGGTTTCCGAGGGTGTAAATCTTTACGGGAGTAGAAAGCCTCATCTTTCTCCCGCAGAGCGGCTGGTAGTTCTGAACCGCTGACCTTAAAGGTTCGCAGCCCGATTCGTAACCACTATGCTACCAGAGTCCATTAGGCTGAGTTAAATTAGTCAATCACAAAAGGACAAATATTGTATGAGACCGATGTAAAAAACTAAGAAAAAGTTTTCTTGACAAAAGAAACAACCTATGATGATGGTTAAGGGAGAAGGAGGGAGGGAAAATTATTCACAGGCTAGAGGGTAGACACACATTTACATGGGTGACAGGGCAGGCAATATACAAGAACAAAGATGAAGACAGTGGGAGACAAAGGGAAGAATGCAATAGTTAAGGAAATAGACAAATATTGCTAGCTAATGGTACAGGGAGGGGATTGCAGTCATTTTAATGAAGCAAAGTATATGATTTGATTAATGTAAAACTGATGATCTGCTCTATAAATCTTCACTCAATTCACAATGGAAAGTGAAAAAAAAAAATAAAGGAACCCAGTGAGTTCAGTGCTAGCCCCATTTTTGAGGTGATATGTTGTTGTTAAGTGCCGTCGAGTTGGTTCCGACCCACAGAGACCCTGAACAGGATTTCCGAGGCTGTAAATCTTTATGGGAGCAGAAAGCCTTATCGTTCTCCCGCAGAGCAGCTGGTTTTTTAGAACTTCTGACCTTGCAGTTTACAGCCTGATTAGTAACCACTACACTACCAGAGAGATAGGTGAGATTTAAACAGGTTAAATAAATTTGCCCAAAGTCATCAAGCTAATATGTGGCAGTGCCAAGACTTGGAATTAGGTTTGTTTGACTCCAGAGCACATAACTTACAGAA